CTGTTATTAAAAAGTTTTTCCAAGATCACCAAGTGAACCACAGAAAGAGTAGGGTGGCAAGATTTTTGTACTATAATGTTAATCAATACATTTATAATCCAAGGCCATTAGCTGCAGCCCTAAAGAGCTGAATCCATTGGCTTTTTTAGAAGATAGCAATCTCATTTGAGAGCAGATGTCTTTTCTGTTATGTGCTACAACACTTAGAGGCCACATGTAGTTTGGCAAACAGACAAGGAAAGTTTGATGCAAATGTGTGATACTGTGAAGAAAAACTAAATATGTTTTGGTTTTTCCCTCATTTCCCACTCTCTTCCTACCTCTCTCTCTCCAACACATGATGTCTGGGCAGAGACAAGCAGCAGAGAACGTGAGAATAAATCATCAGTATCAGGTAAATGTCGGCTTTTTCACAGCACGCTGAAAATGATCACAGTTTTCTGCTAGTGTGTATGAGAGAGAGTGTGTGTGTCTACAGTACTTGCATGGCTATAAACTGTGAGGACCAGTTTGAGTTTTACACCATAGGAGTGGGAACATTTTGGCCAGTCCTCACCTTCTGACACACCTTCAGAGGGCTGTTTAAGGATCAAGACTTGGTTTTAGGTTAGAAACAGGTTTATGTTGAGGATCAGGACTGGCTTTAGGCTTTTAGTTGTGATGAATTGGTTAATGGTCCACAGAATGCATTAGGTCAGTGAGTGTTCTCACAAAGATAGTATAGAGGTAGAAATGTGAGTGCATGTGTGTGTTCGTCAAAGACAGATCACATATTGTGTTTTTGACTGCCCTTATACACTTTCATTTTCAATCTGTCAGTAGAATGCTCTTTTCACATCTTCATTCAGTATCTAACAATTGCACTCGGTGAGATTTCCTATTCGTCCGTATCTGCAGTGGGCTATTGTAGTGTTTTTGAGGAGATGTAGCTTTAAATATGTTTTCCTTTATGCATATGTTTGTCATCGTCTTCATCTTTTTTGTATTAAAATTTGTTTCATCTGATATTTGAAGAAGATTTCATGTTCAAAGAAATGTATTTTTTCACTGTAGGAGGTACTAAGGAACTTGGTGAAACGTTATGTGGCTGCCATGATCAGAGATGCCAAGACAGAGGAAGGTCTGACTGAAGACAACTTCAAGGTAGGCTCAGGTATTATGGAGGACAAAAAGACTCAAAGTCCTCTAACCAGTGTTCGATATTAATAATATATTGGCATATGTGTCATGGGGGTTGCTCATAATGACACAGAGAATTATCACCCAAATGTACAATGAGAATGATGCTTTATAGCATCTTTTAGCTCATTGTTTTGATTTTCTGGCTCGCAGTTTAGCTGTTTTGATTCAATCAGTTATTTTCAGTAGAAAAAAACCCTAAAACCTATAACTCTAAAAATACCTGCTCAACACCAAACAGCAGACAGACACAGTTAGCCACTGCTGGTGAACATAGTGGAGCATTTAGCAACTGAAGAGTCAGATATTTCCCCCAAGAGTTGACAGAAACCAAAAAATGAGCTAAAAGGAGCAGTGAATATAGGGTTAACGTTCATCAGGTGGACACAAACAACTCTATGAATGATGTGGGTTTGTGTCTACCCTATGAGCTTACTTTTACTTTGTTCTCCCAGGAGCTGAAACAAGACATCTCCAGTTTTCGTTACGAGGTGATGGGTATGATGAAGACAGGGAAGCCTGCTCTACAGGGAGCAAAGGCCAGTGGGAGCTCAGTGGAGTCCACTCTTGTTTATCCTAATTCCTCTTTTAAGCTTTTTTCATGCCCTCAGAGCAGCCAGGTGAAAAGCAAACTCAACCGATTCAAAATGACAACGTCCATCCTCAAGCAGGGCTGTTCAGCATCACCCAGGCCACCTGAAGCCTCTACTGGTCTACCTAACGGAATCTTTTCCCTTGTCTCTGGTGAGAGCTCCAACGAAAGTTCAAACCAGAGGAGAAATTTCCCAAAAGAGTTTACTGACTTTGGCTTGTACCAGAAGCGCCACTGGGGTGGCAGTGAAACCACATCAGGCACAGGAGAGATTTCCAGAGGGATGTATTCTTTGTCAGAGACAGCAGGAGAGTCTGAGGTCTCAGACGCAGAGGAGCAAGACAAGGAGCGTGTAGCTAGAAGTAGCCATGAGAAAGAAACCTTAAAGGGAGAAAAGACAGAAGAAGCTGCAGTCAGTGAAGCAGTGAATGAGAATAGTGAGGCTTTGAACACCAACAGCAGCTTGGAGGAAGATGGGAAAATAGAAACCGAGGAAAAGAATGAAGAGAGTTTACCCTGCGTTGACTCAGACACTGATGGATGTTTATCTGGGACTTGCAGAGAAGAAGCGTGAGATGTGACGATACATGAACATAATCACAGGTCGCATAATGGAGGACTGAAGACAGAGACTGACAATCATGTCAAGTGTGGAAATTTTTCCAGTTATTACTAAACAGATTATCAGTTCTGATCCTACAAGACTCAGGGAGACCTTTGGTTTAAGTGTTTTAATATTAGCAGTGGAGATGCAGCAAAGGCAAATGGAGCTCTGTGTGAACATCGCCTAGATTTTTCATGTAATCTCTTCACTATAGATGATTGGAAAATCATAATTTTCTGAAATTTTTTTAGCCTCCTCTCTTTCCTTTGCCTTTATCTGACATCTTTTCAAGTATCCATCGTTTGTCCTTCATCGATTTCTACCTCTTTTCTTTTACTGTTTATCTCAACATTGCTTTCTCTCCTCATCCTTGTCTCACTAGAGCAATAGGTGTATTCTGTTTTAGACCTAACTTTCTGCCTTACACTGTCTGTTTAAGCACTTTACACACTTTACACTGGCATGGAGGATCTCAAAGCTGTGCCAAGCTTGGATCATGCAACAGCTCTGTCAATTGTTTTCTATGCAAAACGAGTATATTTAAAGGTGACAGTATTCTCGTATGTAGGGTAGAGCATGGCCGACTGACAATGAGCGAACATATACAGTACAATATGAACACGTATTTGAAGCAACATCTTATTCATGTTTGATTGTTCCTACTGAAAATAAACAGTTTTGAACAGAGTGATGTTTTTAACTGGTACTTTTAGATGTCATGTTTCGTTTGGATGAATGATGTTATAGAGATTTAAACACTGATCAAAAGATGTTAGATAGCTACTAACAGGTAAGTGTTTGTTTTTAAGTTATTTGTAGAAGCTGATTACTAATTCTGAAAAAAACCTTTTAGGTATTCAAAAGAAATATTATTTCCCCCTGAGGCTCCAAAGTAAAGCACCAGCATTTGCATTGATGGTACAAAGCTTCTAGCCTGTGGTTTTCAAGAAGAAGAATGAGGTTCAGGGCGGAGAGAAGCAAGAATTGTTTATTTTGACACAAAGATTGTATTTTTGCACATACATTTTAAAGTATGTCATATAAAAAAATCCAGAGCATATTGAACCATCTTTCAGAAGTTATTTAGTCATTTTTCATTTAACAGAATCTTCTGGACTCTGACATCTTCACCACATATTCCTCCCAGCTACATTTAACCTTTTACTTTATTTTGTGAAGATTTAAAAGACTGATGAAACTTTGTACAATGTATACTCAGTATATAATGATGTAAACATCATATCTCAAACTGGGGTTAAACTGGCTGAGCTCTAACAACAGTGAGATGATATATATGAAGATTTTTAAAGGAGAAACTGTTAAAAAGTGTGAAACCCAGGAGCTAGTGTCATATTATAGTGTTAGACCCAGCTCTGTACAGAATAATTAAATCAGGAGTCCGTTTTTCTTCTTTCTCCAACATTAATAGCTGAAATACATCTTCCATTAACTCAAACAGTAAGTCAAAGCAAATCCAAAGAATGGGATAATATTGTAAATGTGTCATTTACAGTATCTGCCAACAATTTTCCACTACTTCACTTTTTTTTCTACTTTAAATTTGGTCCAATTTCTGTAAATTAAGGTCTTAAAATGTAATGAGTAGTATCTAAATAGCAGCTTATCAGTTTTCTTTCTCCTTCTGGGAGACATCCAGAGAACCAAAGAATTTTTATTGAGATTCTTTAATGGGCGAAATAAAAGACGTTCTGTTGAAGACTGCATAATGCTGTTGTACTTTTTAAACCAGAAGCCAGGCAGACTGTTCACAAGCTGATGTACAAAAGCAAAATTGCATCGCCTGCCCTGTGTTCTCCTGCAGAATGGATGTTTTTGTTTTGTCTCTGAGCTGATTTGTCACTTTGTACTTCTCAGTGGTCTGCAATTTCTATCAGCAAACAATTGATCAAGCAATGGAAAGAGAGATGAAATAGTCAACCGATGATGAAATTGTGCTCCATGTGTGATCAAAAGGCTGCGCTGAAAGGCTTCTGGGGTTTGTGATGGATCCTCCAACTGCACTGTACCAGGTTGGTCACAGATGCAAAAACACATGAATAAATATGAAATGTTCAATCATTCTTATACCGTACACACTCACACGCATGCTTAAAGCTTGTATAGTAATGGTAGTATTATGTAATGGTTAGTTCAAAACGTTGATATGTGACTGAACCTCCTGGTTTCCCTTCAACACGTAAAATCACCTGAGGAAAAAGATCTATATTGTCTTGCTCTCACCTGCACATAGTCTTCTCTTTAGTGAACCACCTTCCCTCCAGCTTATTGCCCCCCCCCTCCTTCATGTTGTTTCATGTGGGCTTCTCAGGAATTTCTTTACTGCCGTCCTATCCCTGAGCACCAAGGACACCCTGTAGCACAGACTTTACTCTCTTCAATAAGTATTGTTTAATCATTTCAATAATTTTATTATTCTTTTTACAGTAGTGAAGTCTCTGTTCTTACCCCAAGTGCCCTGTGATATATGGCTGGAGTTATTAAAAAAAGAATTGCCCATTAAAGTCTATAAAAGAGTCAGTTATATCTATTTAATTTAAATGAAATTGATTGTTCAGATTGTGTGGAGGTTCTTTTTTGTAATATTATAATGGAGCTTTTGCTACTGCCCTTTGGAGCTTTTATGCCACTAGACGCCTTAATCTCAACTTTCGCTCTAAGCTCCTGCAGCAAATGCATGAACCAACACACATACACACACACACACACACACACACACACACACACACACACACAGTTGATGCAATCATTCATTATTATTCTAAGCATAACTCATAACTGTAAAATCTGAGAGGCCACAAAGTTCACAATCCATTTTTAAAATAAACATGGAGACTTGTTCACATGTGCAAAAGTGAACTCATTATTATTCTAAGCATAACTCATAATTGTAAAATCTGAGAGGCCACATAAAGTTCACAATCCATTTTTAAAATAATCATGGAGACTTGTTCACGTGCAAAAGTGAATAGGCACAAACTTTTTGTGTGCTCAAAACATACAAAAGTATGTAAATGCAAAGCTGATGTTCACTAGTCCTTGTGAGAGAAATGTGACCGAAACTTTTGTTTTTCCTGTTTTACACACTAATGTACTTTTTGAAAACTTTGTGTTATCCAAATTTCTGAAGTCTCACAGATGACTGTACCAATGAGTCCATCCCACTAGGGGGAGATGTCGGAGTTCCTGCTCTGTGCTTCTTCCCTCCTAATATCCCTCCATGGTCTGAGATCCAGATAATCATCTGCAGCCTGGAGTGAAAGTCCTGAGGGCAACAAGAAGGTGACATACAGGGTTCACACACACACACACACACACACCTATTAAAAGTTTGTCTTAGAGAGTAATCCATCATGCCAGGCAGGTGTTTGTATGTCCTGCAGGTCTCCGGGTACATGTGTAGCTTTTCATGTTCACAAGTCAAGACTGTACATGACAATGTCCAAGCTGCCTGTGTTAAGATGAATTTTCCCTTTGAAGCTGTATCAGATCTGGCTTCAACCGGGGAGACAGAGACAGCTGTGAGGAAAAGTTTGAACTGGGGAAAAGCTGCAATGAAAAACGATGAACATGACAGTAGGGAGGATGAAGGGAAAAGAGGTTAAGAGCACAAGTGGGAGTTCAGGGGAGGAAAGGTTGATAGAAATGATTAATCCACATCATAACAGTGATGAGATGATCCCAGGGGATGGATGATTAAAATATAGTCTGGCTCCTGTCAAGCATAGTGTAAAACATTTACACGGATTCTTACCATGAATCATTAGGTTTGATTTACAGCCTTACATTCTAGCACCTTAAAAGCATCTCACTCAGTTTAAGTATACATACTTGCTACCAAATGTCCCAAGGACACCACAGGTTTTGAGGTATGTTTACTGCCTGTGTGTATTGTGTGTATGTGTTTAGGTGTCAATGTGAAACATAAAAAAAACTAAAATAACCACAATATCTCTGTATTCATTTAAGTGTAGTTAAATTTAATGGTTTGTTTCTTTCAGCTGTGATGGGAAGTGTATCCCCAAAATGGTCCTTTAATCTTAGATGCATGAGTCAAGACCTCTGTCTTATCTGGTAGTTGGAAGACAAGAAGAAGAAGAAGAAGAAGAAGCTTTATTTTATTGTCATTGCAACATTGTGACATGTACAACGAAATTTTGCTTGGAGCCGAGGGCGCCGGGCCGCTGCGTGCATACGCGCCGCCATCACGGGCAACAAGCTGTTATTTTGAAGTGCAGAACAATGTAAATGTTGAGTTCCAGGGTGTCCTCGGTGCTCTGGGATGTGATGGCAGTAAAGAAATTCAGGAAACTCACAAGGAACAGCATAAGGGAGGGGAGACAATAAGTCAGAGCTGGAGGGAGGGTGTGTGGGGGTGAGAGTAAGGCCTGATGATATGGAAAAGATAGTGAGGGAGTATAAAGAGAGTGGGTGTGTGTTAGAGGGAGAGACTTGTTGGTATAAAAGCTCCCTCTTTCAGGGACGCTCCCATATCTGGTGTGCATTTTTGCAGGGGTACACTTGTGTGTGTGTGTGCATGTGTGTGTTTGTGCCCTTGCAGTATAAAGGACTGATAACTCCCTAGGATGCATCATCTGTTTGTGGTGACCTTAGTGCTGGTGGCACTCTGCTCCCTAGGGACTGTGGATTCTTCAGCTTATGACAAGATAGTCACCCACAGTCGCATACGAGGCAGGAATCAAGGGTAAGGACCCTCGAATGTGGTGGGGAGGGGAGAAATAGAGAAATGAGAGACTGTGTGAACAGGGAGAGAGTTGACTTGCCAAATTTAAAGAAGTGTAAGAGTTATTGACTTGTTTTCAGTGTTTAATTGTTACTAATTTTGATCAAATTGCTTGTACTTGTCTGCAGATATATAATATAAGTTGCAAGCTGGTAGATATGCACCTATGTGAAATGATGTCATATTTTTTTATTTGTACCATATTTGAAGGTGGTTTTAAATCTCAGAGCACTAGATCATTATCTGACTGGTCTGCTACATTGATGAAAATATTGATTCAAGCCATAAAATTAAATTCAGTATAATCTCTCTGATTCTTTCTCTCTTCTGCTTTAAATAATGTATTAACTTGTCCAGTTGTTTGAAATTAACTCTGGCTTTTTAAAGGACTTTCACTGTTTTCTGAAATGAATTGATATTAAGAAAATGTCATTTGACATAAGAAGGGTACAAAGTATAACCTTCCTTGAAATCTGTTTTTGTTTTTGGCAAGAAACACTGTGCCTAAACTTTGGTTAGTGTGAATGACATCTTCTCTTCACCTGCATGCACCACTCCCTGTTTCCTACCCTCACTCAACAACTCTCCTCTCCGCCCTTCTCGTCTCATCCTTTCTTCTTTACCTTACCTGTCTTTCTCCCCTCCCCTCTTCCACATTCAAACATACCCACATTCTGCCCTTCTCACTTTCTTTGTCTCTTCTTGTCACCCTCTCCTCCTCGATTCCTCCCCTCACAGACCCAATGTGTGCGCTCTGCAGCAGGTCATGAACACCAAGAAGAAGTATTTCAGCATATGTAGGAACTGGGTTAAACGCTCCATCTGTGGCGAGAAGACGTAAGTCTTTACCAAAAGTTTGGATGGATTAAATTTCATGTTTTTATTTGATTTATTTATTTGTTTCATTTACATGGGACCCAACTGGCCTTCACCAGTGTACAAACCACTCCCAGTTTCTACATACCCTGCCGACAGACAACAATTAGGACATTTCACCTGATAGTACTGTAATATATTTCTGCAGGTGGGGAGCTCCATTGATGTATTCAGACTAAATTATCCCTTATTTTTTAACAAGTCACATAAACATCAAGCACTCAACATGTTTGTTCATGTGAAAGCATTCCACACCTGTCATAACCACCTCAACCGGTATCTGGTCTGGTCAGTGGTTCAAACAGCAGAGGTCAATAATGATCCCAGCTGCCTGGACCTTCAAGGTTTACTCAGGTTTTTCTTTTTGCTTTTGTCTTAAGCCATCTGACTATGTAGCTGTCTCACTTTTCTCTTTGAACCTTCACAAAAGAATATACATGGTTCGTGGTGATGGTTAAGATTTACACAACACAGCATTTTTTTAAAAATGTGAGAAATTTCTGAAGCATACAAACAGAGAAGACCCTATATACCACCTGTTTTTCATAGCATTTTAAGTCAATATATTTTCTCTTGACAACTGAATTGCAAACTCTCATTTTTCTACTCATGGTTCCTCTATATGAACAGAGCTGCCATGACTTTCTCTCTCTTTGTCCTCATCCACCCTTCCCCTTCCTTCACAAGCCTGAGCTTGCTGAGTAGCCTGCGGGCTGGGGGTTCACTCTGCTGTAGACATGCTCATGTTGTGCATTGTGCTCAACAGTGATTGATGCCCACTTCCCCTCGTGCATGTTTCAGTTGCTCAGGGAATAATCTGTTGATATGCTTTTCCTAACCAGATTTGGGTTTTGAAGGGTATTGAGAACTTGTGCTGTGTGTGTGTGTGTGTGTGTGTGTGTGTATATACAGTGCAAAGTGTATGTGTCTGATACTGACTTCTGAAATCATTGTACTTATTTATTTGAGGCAACTTATCAAGCTTGCGCTGAGTGAAACTGCTGCTATGATCTCTTTAAAATCATTGGTTTAACTGGAGATTTATGTTTAAGAATTTAGCAGTTGACTATAAAAATACTTTTTGGTTGTTGAAAAATATAAGAATGAAGATGTTAATAAGCTGAAAATGTGGGTTACTGTGCCAGCAAAAAGTTGAATTCATGTATGTTTTAGATTGTTGGGTTTCTGGAGGGCTTTACTATCAAAAAGCATGTTGTTGATGGATTTAAGTGAGTATAATATTTTCTTTCCTTTGCAGAATAAATAACGTGTGTAAAGTGAGGAAGTGTGTGGAATATAGCTGCTGAGCTGTTGATGGAGTGTAAGGCTCGGCTGGTGCTTTACTGCCTTTTATGAGAGTGATGTAGTGCCTGATCCTTCTGCTTACTCGCTATTATGTACACGCACAAAGAAGAACATGCATGCACACATACACGTCTTCTTTTAGTCACACAATCAGTTGTAACATCTACTGCTGTGTGACAAAATGAGAAGGTGAGAGGGAGAATGGATAAAGAGGAACCGAGTCCAGTTAAAGGTTTTTTGTGAGTTTTTCTTATCCGATTCGAGACTGTCATGCTTGAGAAACAAAAATTATTTGTAAATAAAACCGAAATGTGAATTGTTCATCTACATGTTTGACCTTTAGCAAGAATGTGCATTAATCAAATACAGTGTATATATATATTAAAAAATAATCAAAATTTCAATTTACAACACCAAGGAAATAAAACTGAACATCAACATTTGTAAAATGACAAAGCAAAGAAAATTAGTAGCTTGCCTCCCTGTCTTCCTCTGTCTGTGGTCACAGTGAGAACATTGTTCTACAGCAGTGGAGGAAATCCACCCAGCTGTCATTGACTGTTGGATTTGGTGTCGATGAGAAAAGGAACAGGAGGTTTGGGTCTGCATTAAGACTGTTTGGCTATTTGGCTGTTGCAGTGTTCAGACAGCTACACCACACTGTTCATACATTGGCCTGGTGCAACAGTCGAAGTAACACCTGTACTGAATCTCTTAGAAACCAACTATTAAAAAGAACAAATTACATTTACATGTATGTGTATTCAACTTGCACTGTGTTTTTCTAAGTATCTACCATGTAGTTAAACAATACATGAGGGAGCTCTTAATGCCTTAACTTCCACAAAGAACTCTTGAAGTGAGCTGCTGGAGGTTCAGGTGGAAGCAATTTTCTCTGTGTTGTAATATGCTGTAGGTGAGAAACACAGCATGGAGGGAGTAGAGGACATGTGCTCACTGCCAAATCAGGTTTATTTATGGCTAGAAAAATAAGGCCATAATAATGTCAGAGAAGTGGTACAGCTACAGTATGTTAACTTAGTTTACAGTAAGTTCACTCCCATGCAAGTATAAAAAAGAAAATGTTGGCACAGTGCTCAGGAAGCCACTAGCACTGAAGAGAAAAAAGGCAACTGATAATTGTTGGTTACATAGCGGGAAAGAAATGGCTATGCTCTTATCTGATGCCATGTTTCTGTGAGTGTTTTGTATGAGTCTGCTCCTCTGCTCATCTGGGATCCACACTGCGGTGCTGCTGCCAGAGGCCTGGCTGCAGTGTGCTGGTTAGTTCTGTACCTGGTCTGTAATGCATCCTGTCGGTGTGCAGACAGGGAGCGCTAACTTCATACTGTACTTTCAGCCAGCAGTGCGTGAATCTTTTACATTGTATCAAAGTTAGTGTCAAAGCATGTAATGATTGCTCTGTAAGCAGCATGGCTGTGCGCGCTAAAACAACATATTCATAACATTGAGCACACACATTTCCATAAGTACACCATTACTGATTGAAGTGGAATAGAGCTTTATGTTTGCAACATGAGTCATTTTAGGGAGTTGAAAGGAGAAAGTGAATGAAGTTGCTTTGCTTTGAGGAAGTGCTTTGCTTTTGCATAATAAGTAATAAACAATGAGTTAATTTCTGAATGGAATAGTTATTGTTCTGGACATGGAGTTCCTGTAGAAACTCTGTATTTTTGCTAGAAAACAGAGAGCAGGAAATCTTAAAACACGAATGAAGGGACTGTGTAATAAGCTTAGAGCAAACCTCTTTTACAGACTCACTGAACGCCCCAACTGGAAACCATAAAATGCTTTCTGTTAAATCCCAATTCATTTTATTCCATCATTCAGGAACTCCATGTGTCTTTGCTAGTGGATCATCGGCGAGCGTTCAGTGTTGAAGATGTGTGTTAGCTTGGGATAAGTTAATTATAGTTAATTTTCAGAAAGAATTTACTTGAAAAAAGTAATTAATTCCTCCGTTAAACCTAAATTTTATGGAATATTAATATCCACGGTCAGTGCTCTCACACCTCATACTGTCATTCATAATGCAATGAAGAGCAAGTTGGCTTCTTGTAAACCTTATGGTTGATTGAACAGTACGAGTCATATGAGCAGCATTAAGTGTCTCGACTAGGGTAGAAGTGCTCCTTAATATATTTTTCTCAACAATAATTTGGAAAGGACAAAACAGTTTGGAGCTGTAGCACTAGAGGTAATGCACTGCACAGCTTCTCAGTGTAATTGTCTTTTTTCATTTGCTGAGTTTGTTGCTGTTGCACGAGATATTGGAAATGTTTGCTGTTTCACTTCAGTCTCAGTCTTGTCAAGTTTTGTGTGTGTGTGTGTGTGATTGCTCTGCTGGAAGTTGTGCACTCTGCCATATTTCCTATGGAAGCACTTAATTTTTTGGATGTTTTCTTACACCATCACTGCTTCTGATCAAACGTTCACATATACTTTACCCAGGTATAGACTTGTTATTTGGTGAGTAAGATTCCTTCTTTGAACAACCTTCCTCTCCTGTCTCAAGTGTCTTGACTGCTTCCAATCCAATCACAGCTCTAATGGATATTGCAGAACCACAGAAATAATTCACTTTTACATTCTGCACATTTTCATGATACTCTTAATCACTCACAGGTCTGACATGTTTGTGCTCTTTTTTTTGGCAGCGTGGTCCTATATGAGTGCTGTCCTGGGTACATGAAGCTGGAGGGCATGAGAGGATGTCCTGCAGGTAGGTGGCTCACACCACAGGCTCCATCTGGTGTGATAATATATTTTTTTTTTTTTTGTAGCAACCATTTCATGTTAATGTTGATTCAAAGTTTGAATTCATTTGTGTCACCAATAAGCCTGTATCTGAGCATGATCAGTTGTTCTGCTCTCTACCCTAGTGGCTCCCATTGACCACGTGTATGGTACGCTCGGGTTTGTAAAGGCCACGACCACACAGCAATACTCTGACATGTCCAAGATGAGAGAGGAAATTGAAGGAAAAGGCTCCTTCACGATGTTTGCACCTAGCAATGAAGCCTGGGATCTGCTGGACCCAGTGAGTAGAATGGAGGTTTAAAACTTTACTAGAGGAACACAAAATAAATACTATTACTCACACAGTTAGTATGCTAATGTTTTGACTTCTCCAGGCCCTACGAGCTGCTCTGCTGAGCAACGTGAACATTGAACTGTACAACACTCTTCAGTTCCACATGGTGAACCATCGTCTTCTGACTAAAGACATGAAGAATGGCATGACTCTAACTTCCATGTACAACAACGATAGGATCTTCATCAATCACTATCCAAATGGGGTCAGTTTAACCACAGTGAAAAAGTGGATTAGATCACAAGGATGCATGACTGAATAATGTTGATAAATGACTTCTGACCCCATTGATTAACTTTGGCTTAATATAAAATTTCCTCTCTCTGAAGATTGTGACAGTGAACTGTGCCAGGATTATCGTAGGTAACCAGGTGGCCACAAACGGTGTGGTGCATGTCATTGACCGGGTCATCGCATCAGAGGGCAAAACCATTCTGGATGTTTTGTCGACCCACGACAAACTCTCCTCCTTCTTTGTATGTAAACCTCGCAGCATTCAATGCAGATTGCATTATAAAGACAACATTACAATTAACTAATGGAGCTAATGTAGAAGGTGTCAAAAATACAGTAGTATCAAAAACAGTATCTTTTGGAACCTCAAGATTTCTAGCAAAAAGTTTGATCCAGTCTAATGTTACATATATGACACACATGGTCATGTCTTGTTTCCCAGTCTGTGGCGTTGGATTCTGGTATAATGGGCAAGCTGGGCCAGCCGGGTCACTATACTCTGTTTGCTCCCACTAACAAAGTCTTTGAAAAATTCAGCCCAGACTACCTGGAGCGTATTTTGACTGTTAGGGCTATTACAGAAGGTATGTTGCATGTTTGATACACTCATGATGACAGAAACTACTAGCATACCAGTACAGTGCAAGGCTGATTGCGTTTGAATTTTAGTTTGGAAGGGCTTTTCATGTTGCAGTTGTATTACTTTTGCAGGCCAGTTTTGCTTAGTTTGACAGTTGCTGTCAGTCAGAGGTGTAATCCTATATCTAAATGTTGACAGAAGTGCCTAAACATTTTAAAAGTGCGGAAGGAATGTGTGTGCGCGTGTGTGTATGCTGAGTAATGATTGCAACTGTAAAGGTTACAAAAATAACTACAGGCAAACCCCAAAGTCTGTAACAACAGACAGTTAAATCTGATCATCTACTTGTATGCAATTCTCTGTGTCGCTCTCTCAGACTTTTCTCATGCCACCTTTTTTTATCCCATCAGCCATGCTGAACTTCCACCTGTTGAACAGTGTCCAGTGTTCAGAAGCAATCATGGCAGGGTCAACGTATGAGACCGCAGAGGGCAGCACCATAGAGATCGGCTGTGATGGCGACAGTCTGACTGTCAATGGCATCAAGATGGTGCTGGAGAAGGACATTGTCACCACCAATGGTGTCATCCACATCATTGACCAGCTGCTCATCCCTGAATCGGGTAAAGCACATCTTGAGTATTGATCCAGCAAAAACAAACTACTCAAATTATTTGGCTATGTCATTTTTTTTCCTGTGATTGTCAATGTTTATGTGATTCATATCAGCCAAGGAAGTGAAGGAGCTGATGGGAAACTCCCAGAGCATGTTCAGTGACATGATGTCCACGCTAGGCTTAGCTGCTGAGATGGGTTCGGATACGAATTACACACTCCTTGCTCCTGTCAATGCTGCCTTCACTAGTGAGTTCATCTTTAAACACATTTTATGGACAGCACAGAAGCACAGTGGTTTACTAAAAAAAAAAAATTTAAATTAAAAAAAGGCGTTGCACAGTGTAATGGAAACACCACATTTTGTCATTTACAGAAGATAGATATAACAGAAATAATGAGATCACTTATCAGAACTGGCTTCTAATATTACGTGTCATTTTAAATCTGGGACTTCTCTCTGTTTATTAGCCAAGGTGATGTCAACAGACCAAAGCCTGCTGAAGACCATTCTGGAAAACCACATCCTGAGGGTGAAAGTTACACTGAACGAGCTCTACAATGGACAGCTGCTGGAAACACTGGCTGGCAAACTGCTCAGAGTTTTCATTTACCGCACTGTGAGAACCACGTGCTTGTGTTCTTTGGTTGTGTGTGTGTATTACTTCATCAGAGAATCAAATAAGGAGCAGGAAGAAAGATAAATAAGAGGTGATGGAAAAACAACTGAGAACATCAGCTTCCATGCTGAAAATGTGAAGGCCTTTACCAGGCCACTAACCAGGTGTTAACATTAAGTCTTTCAACTGTAAACGAATGCAATAAAACAGCTAATTATTCCAGCTCTTTGCAAGATGAAGTGCTGGTGCTCTGGTGATTGGGCTATTAGAATCAGATGGCTTTACACCTGTAATTCTCTCAGTGTCTCTGTTTTGTTAGGCTGTATGCATAGAAAATGCATGTATGGTGCGTGGCAGTAAGGTGGGAAGCAATGGCGCCCTCCATCCTATGGAGACCCTCATCATGCCAGCAGAGAAAACAGTCTACCAGATCCTGGTTGCTGATGGACGTTTCAAGTAATAACCAAATCTTGTAACTGACATTAGCAAATCAATTTACTGACATTTAGATGCAACTCACTCTCAGTCAGTTAGGGAATGAAACGAAATTCAACGTGCCATTATAAATACAGCTGTCCTTTCCATGGTGGAAAGTGTAGATGTGATGCTCTGAGTGAAAGCAGCAGTTCAATGTGACAATGGATGTGGTAAGAAGAAAAAATAGAGTTAAAAGTACCTACTTTTTATTTTCTGTTTCTGGCTTAGAACATCATCAACATTCTTATTTCTGTGAATTGAAAAGTGGAGAAAGTTAGCCTGTGTGTTGCTCTGGAGATTTCACTTCATTTCACTGCTATAGTCCTGTGTTCACTGTGTGAACCGCTGACTATCTTCTTTAAATGAATGCAGGATTTTCCTGTCACTGATGGAGACGGCGGGTCTGACTGATATGCTGAAGCAGAAAGGTTCCTACACCATCTTTGCACCAACTGATGATGCCTTTGTTGACCTCAGTAAAGAAGACCTTGCTCTGCTCAAAAGTAAGTGAAATGAACACATACCCACATCTGTACATTTCCCTTTTGGGGAATTCTGGGGGATTTCTGTCAAGCTTGTTCTGCTATAAAGTTATTATAAATCATGTTTGTCTCATGTTGTTATTGTCAGGTGATGTGATTGCTTTGAGAACCATTCTGCTGTATCACTTCAGTAACGGCATCTTCATCAATGGAGGATTAGAAAGAGGAGTTACCAATCTGCTCAAAACCCTCCAGGGCAACAACCTGCAAGTTTTGTCTGTATGTAAAATCAGTCATCATTTAAGTGTGTTTTTGTCCTCAGAATCAAAGAGGTGGAGCTTATTTCCTGGATCTTTCTACATATCATTAAACTATCAAAGAAAATACTTTTTTTCTGGAGTGGTAAAATGTGTAGTTGGCTGACAGCTAGATTTCAATTCCTGCCCATTTAAGATTGAAAAGGGCATTCTGGGAAAAGAAACAAAGGGGGCAATAATCAAGGGGTTTATTCATCCTTTAAGACTGCATTTGTATTATGTAATTAACTTTTAAATGATCCCAATTAAACACACACTTTTTATCTTTTCTCAGAGCGCTGTTCTGTACTCATGTTCTTCACATTCTCATTTAAACACTAGCATCACAGAGCCAGTACTAACCTGTTACTTCAAAGCTGGATAACTCTGGAGAATGGCCAGAAGCAATAGGCTACAGTCAGGCTTCCCGTCGTTTCCGTCAACACCCACTCCTGGTATTCATCCACCACGCCCACCTCTATTTTGATACCCTCCACCTGCTATCTTGTTTAGATGGGTGAGAGGTGGGAGAGAGGAAACACAAAAGAGGGGAAAGTTATCCTCCACTAAACTCAGAATGTTCACCTTCAGTCACATCCATGGAGACAGTTGCATTGCCAGACATTAATCATAAATGGAATTTCCTGATCTTTCTTACAACAATGAAGCACACTGCCTGGGATTTCTGTTAAGTCTGACCTGATTACAAACCCTCCCATGTCAAAACATCAGGAAAATGTGTAAATGCACGTCTTAGGGAGTGTAAAATTACAGTAACTGTTTCATACAACATTATTTTTATGCAGCAGTTGATGTAATTGGAAAAAAAAAGATTTTGTTATTGATAACCACACACTGAAAAATAGATATGCATTCAGTGTTTCTCTGTTATTCCCAGGTCAACAACTCTATTCATGTCAACTCTGTGGACATTCCAAACAGTGACCTCATGGCAACAAATGGCGTGATCCATGTAGTGAAGAATGTTCTCTACCCTGCAAGTGAGAACAGCGGACATTTCCATACATTTATGCAGGGTTTGAAATACACCAGGATTTTGCTGATCTGACACCAAATGCATGTACAAATAACTACACATGCTTTCATGTGTTATACATGAAAGCACCGGCATGAGCCATGATTAAAGAAACCTGCACATGTTCTGTTGGACTATGACTGTGAAACTACTGTGTATTTCAATTTGTGATCGAAGTTATAATGACTATGTAAAATTTTCACTCTGTGCTGGGATGGATTGTGTTAAGTTGTTTTGATGATGTATATTACTGACAGACCTGCCTGTGGGCCGCCAGGACCTCCTGGTACTCCTGAAGAAACTGATTAAGTACATCCATATAAAGGTATAGAAAGAGAAAACACACATTTGTTAATACATTGTGTACTCCTTAAATGTTCAGCTTTGTGTATATTTCGCCTTATACTTTGCATTCTGTTATGCTTTGTGTTTTTTAGTTTGTTCCTGGATTTTCCTATGTTGAGATCCCTCTCACTTTCATCAGTAAGTTTCTTTAGAGCCAGTATAACAGTATGTATTTATGTATATCATTACATCTGCAAGAGTTTAAAACTAAATGTGTTACTTCACAGAGACAGTCACCACAACTAGTCATTTTGAAACAGGTAAGACCACTGTTTTGGTCAGAGAATTAATTTATCATCATTGTTGAATATGAAAAGCATGACTGCCTCTGAATCTAACTAATCTGTTCTGCTCTAAAGTACAGTATATATCGTCACTCTGAAGCCTCATCCCTGGTCTCTCTTTGCCGTTCCACTGATTATTCATTCTCACTATTGCTCAAGTCCAATTGGACCCCTTGATATATTTCATCATCTCCTTTAGGGATGCAGTAAATTATACTGTCAAAACATTATGGTCAGAGAACGTTTTTGGATGTTGTTCAGTCAGCTGGGATAAGTCCAGTGCATTTCCACACAGATGGGAGCATGCCTTGATGTATTAGGTAACAGGAGAGATGAAGTAAGACTCTTCACAGATGACTGGGCACATTAAATGAACTACAGAACTGAATATCTGGACCTCTAGGGGATTACATTTTTAAAGGTTGCAAATTAATGCTACATATTTACAGAAATATGAATGTTACACTTGATAAAATGGTTCAGATTTTCTATTTTCTACCATCTACCATTTCTTTTTTTGCCATTGTTTTAATATGCCCTTTTTCTCTTCTCTTACTAATGAATGAGAAAAAAACTGTTCTTTGAATTGCTTTTCCTTCTCTTACTAATGAATGAGAAAAAAATAACTGTTCTTTGAATTGCTTTTTGTTAGTGAGTGCAAGTAGGCTCAGAAGTCAAACCACTGACTACTGCCTAAGAGATTGGCAGAGTGATTGGCAAACATACAAAAGGGAATGGCAGATTTTTAGATGCATCATTTATTATGCACTTTTATGTAAGACTGAGTAAACGGGGGTTCTAAAGGTACAGAAACCTTTTGTGATATTCTAGGGTAAGATATATGTATGAGTTAATCTTATTGAACAGGATGAGTAAATCAAAAATCTCTTAATTATCTAGTTTGAAAGACAGACAGTATTCTGGCTCTGATCAACAGACTAGGCCACATAGGAAATGTCCCCAGGCCAAAGATTAGAGGCCCTCTGATACAAACGCACATCTGTCAGCTTCCAGCACTTTAGGGCTCACATACATATTGTCACACCAAAAAAAGAAGTCATCAATCAAAAGCAGAAAACATAAAATATTCTTCCTGGCTGTGATTTCTATTGAAGCTGATTCAAAAAAGATTTGTAAAATTTGTGTGTGTGTGTGTGTCCCCAAATGATAATTTAATCATTGGGTTCAAATCCTTTCATTTAAAATGTGTTCTTTGTTTGTATCATTTTCAAACCAGTAGTCAAACACTGAAACTTGGAAAGTTGTATGAAGTACAAGCATGTCTGACAGAGGGTAATGTGATGCTTCAGAATCAGCAAACAGGAGAAAATTAAATCTGAGTGGTTCACTGGACCATGCAGTTATTTAACCCTCTCTTTTTTCACCATGGTATCTAATATCCTACACAGAGTGGCCTTTGTTTTCTTCTGCATGCTTTGTGATTACCTCACATACTGTACCTCCTTCTCTGCTCATAACAGAAACTAAATAGGAGTGTTTTAAAGGTGTATTGTTCTTAAGGGATGCTCGTGTTACATCTCTCTCTCTCTCTCTTTCTCTTTTTCTCTCTCTCTGCAGTCCCTAATGTAACAAAAGTGATCAGAGTCATTGAGGGAGAATCATCTCTTACAAAAGTGACTAGGGTCATTGAAGGAGAACCATCTCTCACAAAAGTGACTAGGGTCATTGAAGGAGAACCATCTCTCAGAAAAGTGACTAGGGTCATTGAGGCTGAACCCACCCTAACCAAGGTTACCAGGGTCATTGAGAAGGAGCCTTCTATGACCAAGGTTACAAGAGTTATCAAGGGTAAGTTCATCATTCATGTGCACATAATGAGTTAAATGTTCAAATCTGGACTTCACAAAGATTTGTAAATTTGAGGACAATATGTTTTAATACAGGCGGAGAGTTTGATGAAGATGGACAGAAAATTAGAGGTTAGTTTCTGTAACACATTTTACTCCCTTGTGGAGCATGTAAGTCTTAATCTAACAACGTTTGTGTTTCTTCTGACAGCTCTTTTAACAAATGCATTCCAAGTCCTGTTCACTTTATTGAGCATCATCATCTGATGAGAATTTCACTTCACCTTACATTTCACATTTCCCTGGTGATAATCAGTTAAATCATCTGACATATCATGTTCATGGTGTGCACCATTTTAACCTTAAAGGGACTTTTTATAAAAGATTTGTTAATTTTTTAATTTTAAAGGTTTTGTAAGTCAATACCAGTTTGCTAATTAGTACTTTCAGGCTTGTTTCAGTAACTATTCCTACTTTGTGGTGCAGTATACATTCATTTACAAATATACCTACATAATTTTTATGTTTCTATAGGAAGGGTGTCATTATTTACAGCCTATAAGCACAAGTAGCTGCGTAAAGATATAGCCAAGCTTTTGGACATGTTCTTCTACTGCTGCATCATGATCTGGATGTCTGCCTATCACTTATGCATCTAACTTAATCTCTTCCTCAGTGTTCTTGTCTCTGAAGCATGAATCCCATCTTAACCCATGTTCTGTCATATATAACTATGATGTATGTGTATGAGCAGTGTACAGATTATACGAGTAACATGCAATTTTGGGTTGTCCAACCAGGGCTATTGGTGTTGAGTGCAGGGGCAGCTAGGCAACCTTTAATCCCGTTTCTCCTACAGCTGCTTCACTGTTGTCTTGCAAACCTGAGCTAATAATAATTAGCTGGCTTTCTGTGATCTGAGCATCCTCTGCACACCTGTATTTCATGTGACTAAACCCATATATCATATTTTATTTGAGGGTCCTATTGTTCTGTATTTTTGATATAAGTTTTGTTTGGAACATTTGGACACAGACTTGTCTAAGATCACCACCATTCATGGAGACCCAAGTCTGTCGGTGGAAGAGGAAACGGACAGAATTTCTAAAATTATTCAAGGTGAGTAGTCATAACTGCAGATCTGCACAGATTTTATGTATGTGGGGGTCGCAAATGCAGTATTTGACATTGTTATCTCTTCATTTCACAGATAAGAACAGATTCGCCGCTGCCAGGAAAGCTCCAGGTAAGAGCATATTTAGTCAGTGATGCATTCATCAGCACCACTGATGGACTGCACTAAAAGAGTTGGCCAAAAAACACATAATCACTGCTGGAAAGTACGCATAACAAAAGTCAGCTATCTAGCCACAAATTGTCATAGTTAGATTTTCCTATTGTTTTTACTTTCCATTATCTACCTCGGAATCCATCCAACAATTCTTCATGTTTCATATCTTTCCTTTTGTTTTGATGTTTTCTTTTGCCTTTGTATTCATTCACACCTCTTGTTCCCACTATTAACTCTGTCTCCTCTGTTACAGTTGGAATGAGGAGGAGAACAAGACTGGTCAGGCGCCGTCACAAGCCAAGGGAGTGAAAACATCCTGGGGCTCGTCACAGAGACTGAACGCATCTCCAGTGCTCCTGGTCGAATGCTGGAGGAATAAAAAAAAAAGCTATAGATCAATAAGGGAAAAATCAATTTAGCTATTTCTTTGTCCATACCAAGGACTATTCCATCTGGACCATACTGTGTATGAAAGACATAGTGTGTAATAGCAATGCAATGACATTTAGACATTAGAATACCCTTCATATAGGTAATGTAATTGTGCAAGGGAAATATTAATTTGTATTGTGCGGTAGATGTTGTGCAAGGTGAGATGTATTCTACCACTGAGAGATTTTTTTAAAAGGTTTTTTTTTTTGTTGTTTGTTTTTCATGTCACTTTGTAAACAGATGGCTTAGGAAGATGATTTTATGCATTTCATTCTGATACATGAATACAGCAAAACAGTGTCAAACTGTGTTTTGCTACCATTAGATGCTGTATCTCTGTAAATTATCACAGAATAATTAAAAAAACACTACATTTTTACACAGTTTTCAGTCATTTTTTTACACCTTACACAACTGGTTTTGTTATGATTTAGTCCCCCTCACCAGGAGGGTGAGGGAGAACTGAGGTAGGACTCAATAGTGCACACCCAGGTGCTAGTAAAAAAAAAAACAAAAAAAGGGAGGTTTAATGGAAAAAAAAACACAAACAAGATAACAGAGTCAACGTAGAGCACAATAACCAGGGTAGGGCAGGGATGGCTGAGGAGACTAGGACGAGCAGATGAGTAGGAGGATTGCAGGAAACAGGAGAGTAGAGGACCAGGACAAGGCAGGTGAGTAGACAGGAGAACTGCGACAGGTGAGATGACAGGAGGGACAAAGAAACGAGAAGACAGGATTGATGTAGCGCTCGCTGAAGCACTAGCCGTCCGGTACCCATGGCTGGGAAAATCACCGTCAGGTACTCATGGCTAGGGAAGTTTGCCAGAGGTAATCACAGGCCCAAATAACAAAGACAAAAGGTCCCAAAAACAGAGTATGCAGTCTCACAAAAGGCTAAAAACCATGTACAGAGTCCAAAAGAAAAGGCAGGGACACCCAAGGTGACCCATGTGTACCAGGCAGGGGCGAAGAAGGGCAGTTCATGAGGACGACTTAGTCGTCAGGCCTGAAAGCGTAGCGGCCGTTCAGGAGGATGACCCCGGCGCCAGGCTTGAGAGCATAGACACCATTCGGGAGGATGACCCCGGCGCCAGGCTTGAGAGTGTAGACGCCGTTCAGGAGGGACGGAAGGAACGGTGGCCGTGGTGGCTGATGGAGGAGAACCGATGGGGTGCTGAGCTGCAGAGTTGATGCAGCTCCAATGGAGGACACACAGGCGGGGGCCGGGATGACGGTGAACCCCTCTGGAGCAGGAAGCAGGGCGGCGCCATCGGTGAACCCCTCGGGAGCAGGAAGCAGGGCCGTGTCGTCGGCGAACCCCTCGGGAGCTGGAAGAAGGGCCGCGTCATCGGCGAACCCCTCTGGAGCATGAAGCTGGAGAGTGGCGTCATCGCCGACCCACTCGGGATCTGGTAGCTGGAGAATGGCATCGTCGCCAACCCACTCGGGATCTGGCAACTGGAGAGTGGCGTCGTCGCTGACCCACTCGAGATCTGGCAGCTGAAAAGTGGCATCATCGCCAACCCACTCGAAGGCTGGGAGCAAGGGAGTGGCGACATTGCCGACCCACTCGGGATCTGGAAGCGGGAAAGTGGCATTGTCGCCGACCCACTCGAAGGCTGGGAGCAAGGGAGTGGCGACATTGCCGACCCACCCGGGGCTTGG